ACAATGGAATATTACTCAGCAAAAAAAAAAAAAAAAGAAAACATGTCTTTTGCAGCAACTTGGATGGAGTTGGAAAAGATCATATTTAGTGAGATAAGCCAGAAAGAAAAAGAAAAGTACAGGACTATGGTGATGGCACATGGGTGACTCAGTGATGGGAAACCCACAGGGATTAAAATTGAGATAAAAAATGTACAAAATGATGTAAAAATAAACTATTATATTTATTAAAAAAAAGAAAAGAAAACCACTTTTACTGAGGAAGTAACCCATGGAGAGACGGCAGAGAAATGTCTTCTCAAAGAAATTCAGGATATGAGCAGGAGTCACAGTAGAGAATAGAGGTCCAGAGTCACCTTAAAGGAGCTGACCTTTACCTGGTAAGATCTGTGTTCTTTGGCCTTTCACTGAGAATTACCACATACCTTATTCATTTATAAGTACTTTTCTCTCTCTAGCCACAGTTCTTTTTACAAGCTCAAGTACACATTTGAAAGAGAAAATTCTTCCTGGTAATATATAATATCAAAACTTTCCTAGTTCACTGGAAGTCTAATAAATTCCTCAAAATACAGCTTGACTTAAATACAGAGTGAAAGGTGGCCCAGACAGCCACATGCCACAAGCTTCAATTAAACAAAAAGTAACATTAAAGACAATTTTTCTTTTACAATGATTTCAACCCAATGATTTTCTTTTGTCGCTGCCTCTATAGTTCCACCATATTTATTCATATACCTGATTACTTATCCAAATACCCTATATCTGGCAAAAGATTAAGCCAAAGACAAATGGCTTACTAACTTGCTAGAGAGACGCACAGCATTTTGCAAAGCTATCTCGCAGCATAGCTGCTGAACTAAGAACAATAATCATAGCAGCTTATTTATGTGTCACTAATTATGTGCCAAGGACTGTGATAATAATCACTTTAGGGTACTTAAATAGCATAACAATACAATCAAGAAAGTAATGATATTCTCATTATAAAATAAGATTGAGATGTTAATATTTTAAGTCATACAGCTTATAAGATATGGAGCAGGAATTCAAACCCCCAAACTAAACTCTTTCATGGTAAATCTGCTGCTTTCTTGATCATTATGGACAGAGACAGTAACTACTAATCTCTTCAGTGTGAATCAAATCTGTTGGAAAAAAGAAACCTATTTATCTTTTCACTCTAACTCTAAAGAGAATGCAGGTTAGCATTACCTCCTTCATGATAGATAATCTTCTTTTCTCAAGATTGGAAATTTCTGGTTTCTGCTTCCTACACTTTCTCTTCAAAGCTTTTTCTTGAAGTTCCCAGTGCACCAATGCTCTATTCTTTGATTTATGCATTTCATGACGTCGCATCTATATGGAAGAAAAACAAAAAAGAGAAACAAAAAATGTACCTTTTCACATGGTGGGATCACCTAATTCACTTCATATTTTATTATTTTTTTCAGTCCAACATATGAATCGAAACCATTTTTTAAGTAACTAGAATACAGAATATAAATATTAACACGTACATCCCACACAGCAAAGTTAAATATTGTTTTTTAAACTTTTAAATGCACACGTTACATGGGCACACAAACTGAGGACAATGTAAATGGTACAAAACTCACTGAGTTATTTTTGGCCAAGATACACTCATTCCCTGATGCTCACATCACGGCCAAAAACTAACAATGTCATGTTTTGATAGCCCTGCCATGGCTGCATGTGCAAGTGGATTGCTAGAGCTGCAGACTCCAGGTTGGTGGAGCACCTGAAGCAGAAGCAGAGATATGAGCCATAGCCCGGGGTCAGAAGGGAGTTCGCTGAGGTGGCATGGGAACAAAAGCAGATGCTGGTTTTGCAAGCACGCTAGTCTTCAGAATATGAATATGAACAAAACCTATATAGCATCTGATAAAATACACCGCTGAGTTTCACCATGTAAATGAGCAGCCACTGAGAGATTAGCAACCAAATACTGTGCAAGAACTCTGATTCACAACAACAACAATAAAGCTATTTTTGAGACAATCAGGGAAATTTGAATATGAATGCAAACTAGGTGATACAAAAAATATTGATACTTTTGCCAGGTGTGATAATGGTGTTGAGGTTAAGTAAGAAAATGTCTGTAATTTTTCAAATGCACACTAAATATGTAGCACAAATGACATGTTCCCTGGGATTTGCTTTAAAATGTTTCAGTGAAGGAAGAAAAAAGATAAATGAAGTAACTATGGCAAAATTTTTATATTGTATCTGAATGAATAGTATTCAGGGCTATTCCTTATATTTTTGTCCCACTGCCATGTAAGTTTGAAATATTTCATAATAAAAAAAGTTAAGTTAATAGGGCACCATTTTTATCCTCCACAAGAAACTACTAGAACTAAGATTCCTAGTTCCAAAAAATGTATAAACTGGGCCCTCCCTGGTGGCGCAGCGGGTTAAAGCACAGCACTGAGAAGCTAAAGCCACTTCCGCATGAGTTCGATTCCCGCCTGCCCCGGAGGTGACCACTCCTGACCTCTCCTGACCCGCCCGCTGCTCCCCTCAGCAGTGTGCTTCGTCGATCTGCCTGTTCTGCTCCCCACTCTGTCTCTGGTGCAGCCTCTCACCGCCCCTGAGCCTCTAGCCTGTACCCCGGTTCTGTATGTACAAATAAATAAATCTTTAAAAAAAAAAATGTATAAACTCTACAAAAACATTGACAATCTGCTGAGGGAAATTGGGCATATTCATACAAAGAACAAACGGCATCCACTAAGATGGTATTAACTTTGTATAGGAGATATTAAGTGTAATAACAGTTCACAGATGATAACAACTGATTGGTATCATCTAAAAGTAAGACTTCAAACTTACTAAAAAGCTGTAATAATCAGGCAGAGGATAGACTTTATAGCTTAATGCAATAGAACCAAGAGTCCACATTAAGCCCGTATATTTTTGAACAATTTGAAGCAAAGATAATTCAATGGGGAAAGAACAGTCTTTTCACAAATGGTGCATGGACAACTGATACCTAAATGCAAAAAAATGAAGCTCTGCCTTTATCTCACACCATATACAAAAATTAAATAAAAAATGGATAGGAGACCTAAATATAAGAGTCATAGAAGAAAACACAGGAGTAAATGTTTGTGAACCTTGGGTTAAAATAAGTACAAATGAGAAAAGAAAAAAAGGATATACTGAACTTCATCAAAATTAAAAACTTGGGGCCTCAAAGTATACCATCAATAAAAGATGACCAAAAGAATGGGAGAGATTATGTGCCTATCATACATCTCATAAGGAACTTGTATCCAGAACATATAAGGAGCCCTTAGAACTCAACAATAAAAACACAAATGATCCAATTTTAAAATGACCAAGCAATTTGAATAGACATTTCTCAGAAGATAATATAGATGATAAATAAGAATACAAAGAGATGCTCAACATCATTAGTTATTAGGGAAAAGTAAATCAAAACGACATGAGATTCCACTTTATATAAACTAGGAGCACTAAAGTTGAAAAGATGATAATAATAAGTGCTGACTAACAAGGAGTGGGGTGAAATTCTCATCTATGCTGGTGAGAATGTAACTAGTACAGTCACTACAGCAAAGAGTTTAGCAGTTCCTCAGAAAGATACATATAATGATGCCATATGTTCAAAGAATTCTACTCCCAGGTATACACCAAAGAAATCTGAAGACTATGTCACATAAAAACCTGTACATGGAAGTTCATAGCAGCATTATTTGTAAGAGTCAAATTGAAAATCCAAAAGTGATAAATAAAACATGGTATATCTATACAACAGGATAGTGAAATGATACATGCTATAACAAAGGTGAATGTTGAAAGTATTATGCTTTAAGAAAAAAAGATAAACATAAAGGGACACCTGAGATTTCATTTATATGATTTCTCCAAGATAAGCAAATACATAAATCTATAACATACATTAATTATGCCAGAGACTGGAAAGAAGAAGAAGGTATATGGATGGCTAATTCTGAATACAGAATTTCCTTCAGGGAATAATGAAAATGTCCTAAATTAGAAAGGGATAATGATTGTATAACTATGAGTATACTAAAACCAATGAATTGTATACTTTAAAAGGACAGATTTTATGATATGTGAATTATATTTCAATAATGCTGTTTTTTAAAACAAAAATACAAAATTTGAGAAAAGTAAAAGAAAGAAAAGTAAGAAGAAAAGTAAGATTTGAGCAGATGGAGAAGGTAGAGAAAGAAAGAAAAGTAAGATTTGAGAAAAGTAAGATATGAGCAGATGGAGAAGGTAGAGAAAGAAAGAAAAGTAAGATTTGAGAAAAGTAAGATTTGAGCAGATGGAGAAAGAAAAGTAAGATTTGAGCAGATGGAGAAGGTAGAGAAACTATTCTATGTAAGAAAAATAATATGGTGTAGATAGAGCTCAAGCGTGGAAAAATACATGGAATGCTCAAGGAATAAGTGACTACACTGAATGGAACAGTATGTTCAATAGGAAGAAGTAGCAAATACTACTGGAGATATATCTAAAATAGGAAATGATGACAGATGTGTACAGGAGAATAATCAACTAAAGAGATTTGAACTGTAAACCAAACTATCTAATGAAATCCTAATAAATGGTAATTGATATACCTACACAAAGTCATAATGTCCTAGAAATCAAATATCAAATAAAAGATTAAATAACTTTTTATAGTAAACGTACCAGCTCTTCAGGAGTTGCCCGATGTACTGTTAAGTCATTCACAGTATTCTGCAAAAAAAGATGAAACTTCTTTTAAAAAAAAAGTCTCATATAAAAAACTAAGGATTAGATAATGTCAAACCTAAAAAATAACTCTTTGCGGTTGAAGGGTTCATTCAAGTTCTGGGTGAACTGAAGAATCCAGAAAGAGAGAGTAGCAGGGACATAAGAACAAAGAAGAAAGGACGTACAATGACCTGTGTGCAAAGATTAAACCTGACGAAGTGGATCCCAAAGTTACCTCAATTAAAAGAATAGATAACTTTTTTTAAGTTTCTTACAAAATGTTGGTATAAAAACATTCAAAATCCTAGGAGTAAAAAAATCCTTTCCAGGAATCAGAGCTCTCAATGTAAATATTAACATGGCTTACTGTTAGGTACTTTAGAATGATTTAGACTGCATTTGGGGGGTATTACAGAAAAGAAGCATTAAACTCACCAGCAAGCACACACTATATTAAAATGGCTAAAACAGGCCCTCCCTGGTGGCGCAGCAGGTTAAAGCACTGCACTGAGAAGCTAAAGCCACTTCCGCATGAGTTTGATTCCCGCCTGCCCGGGGGTGACCACATGGCGTGGCAGACCTCTCCTGACCCGCCCACTGCTCCCCTCAGCAGTATACTTGGTCGATCTGCCTGTTCTGCTCCCCATTCTGTCTCTGCCTCTTACCACCCCTGAGCCTCTGGCCTGTACCCCAGTTCTATATGTACAAATAAATAAATCTTAAAAAAAAAAATGGCTAAAACAGGGTAGTATATAATTTAAAGTTAGGATGTTTAATGTTGTAGGTTTCAAACTATGTTCCATGAAAAGAGCAACTCTAAGGATTCCTAACAGATAATGGGTGAACACTGCAAACAACAGTGAGCTTTAGTTATGTCCATGCAAACCCCTTACGCACAGTACCTATCACAAAGTGAGATGAAGTTTGAGGGCAAGATATAATTTCACAAAATGCAAAAAGGAACTAAGTTAACCTGGCAGGAGCACGATGCTGCACTGCTCCAAAAGGCACCAGTAACATCCTAGTCCGTGCGACTGCACAGGTGACAGGTCTGTAATTTGAACCTTCCCAAAGTGACTTCAGCCATTTTGTTATATGGATTTGGTAAAGCAGGAAAAAGCATAAAACAAGTTTTTACTTCTAAAAGAAATATGAAGAACTTACTCCAGGGACATAGCTTCTAAAGTATTCAAAGACTAAAGTTTTTGGTCATAGTTGATAATATTTAGCTCAAGGCTTTTCTCTACAAAAACTACTATTCCTTTCATATTGATTTAGAAAAGTATAACTTTAAGAAAGTTATTTAAGAAATAACTATAAGATTATGAAAAATGTTCTCAGTAATTATAATAAAATCCAGACTTATAAGTAAGTGGTAAGCTTAGCATTAGTTCTCAGAGAAAATACAATTTCACTAATACATCTATTGCTTAAAACTATTTTCTTTTAAAAGTGTCTTCAAATCTAATTTACAAGATATTTTGAAAATGTCTCACCACTTTTATCAAAACAGTACTATTCAGTTTGATCTCTTCTCCCTCATTCATCATTCATTCCAACTGACTTATAACTACTTTCAAGTTTTGTCTATTTTCAAAGCCAAAGATCTTTCCAGCACTGGATAGAGATAATAAAAAGTAAGCGTGGAAAAGGTTTGGAATGAATTTCAAATGGCAGATTTCAATTACGCTTTCAGCAACAGCCGTGTATCAGAATATGTGCTTCCCAAAGTAACTACTTTGAAGGCTGAATGGCAATATTTCTGATATCACCATTTTAAAAATCAGTTTTATTACCACAAAATCTCACTCGTCAATATTTCACAGCACCTGACTGATTATTCTCCACAACAGAAAGTAAACACACCTAAGTTTCATGGTTTGCATGGTTAGCAGCATGAGGCTGCAAAAGGTAAAAATCTTTTTAAAACAAATAGTCAGGGCAGGAGCCAGATGTCCCTGATGTTGGAGACTTGTCTTATATCTTAACAGGACCTTTGTATTGAAATAGGCCAGCCTCTGGAGGTGTGCAACAAACAACTCCAAGGGTAAGAAAGCAACCCAAAATACCACTCACACATGATTATGGCATCAGTGTTGCTATGGGCAAATCTTAAAAAGTACCCCAAAAAGTCAGACTTCAGTAGCACAGATTAACTTATTGCCTTAAAGCAATGAGTTTTCAAAGTGAAGGTGAGGGGACTTTTTAAAAAGCACAGCCTCCATCCCTTAAAATTCCAATTCTTCAAAGGAGGTAAAGTTACAGTCTTGACATATGTGATTTAAAAAACTTCCAGAGGATTCTGTTCTTCCCACCAAGATCTAGGATATAACATGCCAAGAAAGTCAGTCCATCCTACGCCCCATCAGAGCACTATCCTGAGTGACCAACAACCAGTCATCACGTCTGTTCCTCCAGAGGAATGTCATACTGCTTATTATCCCACCTGGACTTACATCCCATTCTTGTTTCACTGATGTTTTCTTCTTCTTTACTTTCAATGTTTTCCTTCCTCCTGCCCGGGGACCATAACGATTCACTCTGACAAATGACATCTAGAAGTAATAATTATTTCAAATATTTAAAATACAAGCAAAAGCAATGACTAAGCATCACCAGAAAGGGACAGAAACATACAGAAATACAAACTCTGAAACTTAAGAAGAAAAATTTAAACACAATGAAAGGAACAGACAACCAATACTTGGGTCTTTCACTATACAGGAAATAGAAAGTTGATACTCATAACTATGATTAGACATTTCAAGTAAATAATTTATGTATATTTGCTTAAGGGAAAAACTCCAGGAATTCAGAAACCATGACTTAAAGTAGAAAGCTAGGACAGTACTTATAGCACTCTAATAGTTACATAAAATTACAATCAATAAAAAGTGCCAGTCACATGCTAGCACTATGAATATAAGTGCAAAGAGTCGAGGTTCTTTCAGAACTCAAAATTGCTATGAGTACTCTTATATTTACCTTAAAATAAAGATGCCAAAAATTTAAAGAATACATAAATTACAGCCTTTCTAATATATTTTATCTCATAACACTAAATGGGAATGATAATTGATGCTAAATGAAGAGTTTTGGAAATTGCTACTATCTACTTGGTAAATACTTTTAAAATAGCAATGCAGTTTACTGGGCTAAATATCACACTAAAATAGAAAAAGACTCAGTTCTGAATACCATACAGTATTTTACACAACATAAAAAACTTCTGAAAAGCTACACATACACACAACTCCTAGTTCAGAACTTCTTTCTACACCTAAATATTACAGATCTTTCCAGCTGAATCTGTTACCCCAAATTATCCTAACATAAAGACTCTAATATTCTCCTTAAATACATTTTTTAAAATCACTTACTGCTTTAATAAAAATGCATACATGCAAATGTTTCTCAAGAATTTGCCCTCAGTGCCTCCCTGGTGGTGCAGCGGGTTAGGACAAACACTGCAAGTTGGCCTCAGCCTCTTATGTGCGGAGATCGATCTCCAGCCCCAGAGGTGTCCCACGTGGCGTGGCAGACAGCTCCTAACCCACCCACTGCTCCCCTCAGCAGTGTACTTTGTCAATCTGCCTG